GGAGTAAGGAATATATGATCTCTTGCAAAGAAGTTAGGGTGATATCTAACGAGGAGGTTAACTCCCTTTATAGTGGCAGACTGAATGATTTCTCTAAAACGACCACCAGTTTACATTATACAAATTAATTAAAGGGAGAGATATTTAATCATTTTTGGTGGTATTTTAACAAAAGAACAAGACAGAAATTCCTTAAATTCTTTAATATTAGAAGTGAAGTTTTTGAGTGTAAAATAATTCCTAGAACTTCTAAAGGGACAAAATTCAATTCAATTAGTATTTTATAACATGATCGACTGTCTCACTTTTACAGAATGTTATTTCAGTTTGATCAATGAACCTGTCATGTCTCGTGATGTGTGTAAATTCCCTGTCCATGCCATGCCGAGATAGTGCGAATGGAAAAGAAAATGTTAGAAGAAAAAAACTGAGTTTTAAATGACAGGAGAAAGTAAAAGTATTGCTTAATGAATAAAAATATTTATGATAAATCTTTGAAAGTTCTCTACAATTTTTTATTCTCCACTTTTTGACGCATAAAATAAGCTATTAATACCCCTATATATAATAGTACGAAATATATTTCAACTACAAACATAAATGTCTATTCCTATATTAATTCTAACTACAAATCCTATTTATATTAGACATGAAATAAATAAACTAGCAAATATTAAATCCTAAACAATAAGGTTTCCTACTATAACTTTAAATTAGTTTTTCAACATTCTCCCATAATTCAAAGTTGTATACGTCTGACATTCTATTGTTGTTGTTGTTGTTATATTGTAGAATTTCTCTCCAACTTCTACTTATGTTGAAGCTCATATCTCCAACCCTTGTTGATGCACTTGTCACCAACACCCAATTTTGTTGAAGCATCTGTCTCCAACTCACACTGATGCACTTTGTCACCAACACTCAATTTTGTTGAAGCACCTGTCTCCAACTCCCGTTGATGCACTTTGTCAGTAACACCCGATTTTGTTGAAACACATGTCTTCAACTCCCGTTGATGCACTTTGTCACCAACCGTTGATGCACTTTGTCATCAACACCCAATTTTGTTGAAGCACATGTCTCCAACTCACGTTGATGCACTTTGTCAACAACACCCAATTTTGTTGAAGCACTTGTCTCCAACTCACGTTGATGCACTTTGTCACCGACCGTTGATGCATTTTGTCACTATATACGATTAAAACTGAGCTTGTTGTATACCTCGGCTTTCCGGTAAGACAAACGGAGCAGGAACATGATCATAAGGAATCGGAATCTGGGGGAGGAGCCTCTCGTATCAAGGTTCGAGCAATACACCTGCCCTCGGAGGCATCAGAACCACATCCTCCAGGTTCGGTTCGGGCCTCGAGACCTCGGAGAACATTATCAAATGGCTGCACACGACTAACGAAGGGCCGTGATATCCGTGTCCAACCAGATATCATGGCGTGAATCTCGGCCTGTATCGGCAGAAAATCGGTGATTAGAGAAACGGAAGATTTTTATCTTTCTTAGAACTGTACTCAGAGTAAAATTTCCCTACTATATAAAGGGAAAAACTTATTATTCATAAAACACATTGTAACAAGCATATCAAGGCAATTTATTTCAATTCTCTTTGTCGTTCAAAGTTCTTAATTTTGTTCTTAAGTTCTTCATAAGTGCAAGCTCGGGGTCGATAGCAGGTCCTTCATTAAGCCATTAACCAAGCCCCGGATCATTCTTATCACTCGTTTTGGTTATTTATTATGCCTTTCATTTGCTTAATCTAACGCTATTGACCATTTGTATTAAATTAATCCGCATATCCTTAAAACCACATATAAATATAATTATTATTCGTTTTTTAGAGTAAATAGTTACCAACGCCCAATTTTGATGAAGCACCTGTATTCAACACCCGTTGATGCACTTTGTCACCAACACTCAATTTTGTTGAAAAACATAATCAACTTCCAACTTTTTTAAACATCTCTCCAACTTTTAGAGAAGAGTTTCTTCATCTTGTGCCATATTTATTTGCACCTCTTTAAACTTATTTCTTTTTCTTGAATCTGTCTTGAAACTTTTCATCGATCATAAAATTTTATTGATAACTATCTATAATTTTGCCAACATATTTTTTGGCCAGATGAGCGGCACACATAGGCTAGCGCCGCCCGCCAGTAGCAGAAGCTACTTGATTCTCTCCCAAGATCGTAGAAGCTCTGATACCAATATGAAGGAAAAATTATTTAATATAAATCCCTGAAAGCTCTCTACAATTTTTTATTTTCTCCACTTCTCCACGCGTAAAATAAGCTATTAATACCCTGATTTATAATAGTACGAAATTTATTTCAACTAATACCATGAAAGTATATTCCTATATAAATTCTGACTACAAATCCTATTTAGACATGAAATAAATAAACTAGCAAATATCAAATCCTAAACAATAGATTTCCTACTATAATTTTGAATTAGTTTTCCAACAGTTATTAAAGAGTAGTACTAATAAAAGTGATTTCAACTATAAATAAAGAATTAGGACTCGCCGTAACACTCATTCCATGTGCAGAAGTGAATTTAAAATTTAAATTTGATGCATTTGATATACTTCATATTAATAAGTACAAAAATTTAAAAATCACACAAATATTATTAAACTATGTGGTTGAATTTAAAAAAAAATAAAAAAAATACAAGCTCTTGAAAATAATAAATATTAAAAGAAAAAATATGTCGCTAATGCCTTATTAAAACTATAATATATGAGTTGTGTATTTACTATATATAGGAAATAGAGTCCACCCATAAGGGGTGCTCTTAGGGCCCACTACGGTAAAATACAGTAATTTTAGTAATTATTGTAACCCTAGTATTCCCTGTATAAGTACACTTACTGTGTACAATAAAGAAATACTTTCTGAGAATTATTCTACACTCTTCTCTCTCAATTCCAAATAAGGGTTTAGACTGTGGAATATGCGGTTGCTCCGACTTACAGTAAAAACTACCGTCGACCAATAATTCCAGCCGCGGTTCGTCCGTTATTTACGCTTCCGCTACGCGAACAAGTAAGTTTTCGTTTTATAATTAACGCGCTAAATTATTGTGTTTAGTTTATCGCGTTTTCCTTCATTAGCATCAGAGTATGTCAAACATCGTGCCTTGCATCATTTTTATTTTTACATAATCCTCGTAATATTTTTTATTTTGTCAAAGAATGACTAGTGCTTCGAAAAATATTGTTGCTGAGCTCAACAAAGGGCTGAAACTCAATGGTGACAACTATGAAACCTGGAGCTTGAAAGTCTAATATGTGCTAGAGGAGCAAGAGGCTCTGGAGGCCATTAATAATGTCATGAATGAGCTTGAGGAAGGAAACACTGCTAAGCATAGGCATGACATGAATCCTATGACAGTTGGAAGAAAAAGAAAACCATTGCTCGCATTACTAGAGATTGCTTTGAGCCTCCAAGAAAGGTATTTCACGATGCTCGAATTAGTGAACTTTGTGTTTCTAGTTCTGTTTTCTAATTGAATCTAATTCTTTGTGGATTGTAGATTCAGGAGCAACGGACCACATAGCCTGGGAACGCAGTGCCTTTGTTGAATTTCGGCGAGTTCCACGTAGAGCAAAATGGATATATGTGGGCAACAACAATAAAGTTACTGTTGAAGGGATTGGTACATGCAAGTTAGTCCTGTGTGGTGGTCGAGACATAATACTACATGATGTTCTCTTTGCACCAACAATTCGCCGGAATATTATTTCAGTTTCAATTTTGCTTAAGCTAGGATTTGACTTGTTTTGTCATGGAAATTCTGCCAAGTTGACTTTTGGTTCAACTTTATTTAGTTTTGGTCATGTGACTGGAGGTTTAATTATTGTGGATTTGGATTATGATTCATTTAATAATAATGCTAGTTTTTCTATATTTGTTTCTTCACATAATATGATAATGATGTAAACAATGGTATGCTAGACTTGGTTATATTGGACAACAAAGAATGCAAATGATAGCAAAACAAGGTTTGCTTTCCAGCATTGAACACGTGGAATTGTCCACTTGTGAAAATTGTCTAGCTGGAAAATCTGCAAGAAAACCTTTTGGTCAAGCGACTAGAGCCGAATACCCTTTGCAATTAGTCCATTCGGACATCTGTGGGCCTATGAATGTTAGCGCTAGGCATGGAGCAAGGTATTTTATCACATTTATTGATGAATTTACCGTTTTAGTTATATCTATTTAATTTACCACAAATCAGAAGCAATAAGTTGATTCAAATGTTGTATGAGCTTAGTGGAAAATCAATTAGACATGAAGATAAAAGCTCTTCGAACTGACCGTGGTCGTGAATAATTATCAACCCAGTTTAATAATTTATGTGATGAAAAGTGAATAGTTCACCAGTTGACTATTCCAAATACTCCACAACAAAATAGTGTTGCAGAGAGAAGAAATAGAACGCTCCTAGAAATGGTTAGGTCAATGATTACACAAGCTAACCTCCCAATTAGTTACTGGGCTGATGCGTTGCTTACTGCCACCTTTGTGCTTAACCGAGTGCCTACTAAATCAGTTATTACTACTCCATATGAGTTATGGACTGGAAGACAACCCGACCTGAGTGTATTAAGACCTTGGAGTTGGGCTTCCTATGCACATGATTCCTCTCACCAATATGGCAAAATTGGTCCCGAGAGGAAAGAAAAGTATCTTTATAATATACTCTGAAACTCAAAGGGTTATGTGTTTATAGGTCAGCAAGACAGTGGGAGTGTAACTGAGTTTGAATCACGAGATGTCACATTCTTAGAGGATGAGTTCCCTAAGAAGGGAGAGGTAGGTAAAGACCTAACCTTGTTTGAGATAATGGATCAAGGAGTACAAGGATCACTTCATTCGAGTGGGAGAATTTTAGCAGATGATGAATTAGTTTCTCATCAAAGGCCTCCTTCATCATCAGATGCGAATGAAAGTAATCCTTCTACATTTAGTTGAAGTAACCAAATGGATCTTGTTCCAAGTGGGTGCGAGATGGTCGCACATCTTGTTCCAAGTGGGAGCAACATTGATCCAAACGGGAATAATGATGAATCACAAATAAGACGTGGTTCTCATAAGAAGATTCCCCGCCGACGATTTTATGTTGAAGGTGGCGAACTATTTATGATGCTCCTACAAGAAGAAAACGATCCTAAAAATGTAAAAGAGGCTACCTCATGCCCTTCTAAGGATAAATGGATAAAAGCAATGGAAGATGAATTGGAGACTATGAGAGTCAACAAAGTTTAGAAACTAGTTGACCTCTTTGAAGGACGCAAAGCAATTGGGAGCAAATGGGTTCTCAAAATTAAGCTCAAGGCTGATGGCACAGTTGAGAGATATAAGGCTCGATTGGTGGTGAAAGGGTATACACAGCAGAAAGGAATAGACAATGAAGAGACTTTCTCGCCTCATGTACGATTTACCTCAGTTCGCTTGGTTCTAGATATTGTTGCAAGCTTGGATCTTGAATTACATTAGATCTGCCTTTCTCAATGGAGAACTAGATGAAGAAATCTATACGGAACAACCTGAGTGTTTCATTGAAAGGGCCACGAACAAAAGGTTTGTACACTTTTGAAGTCTATCTATGGCCTCAAACAATCTTCAAGGCAGTGGTATATACGCTTTCAGAATGTTGTTGTATCCAACGGTATTACCATGATGGATGAAGACCATTGCGTTTATATCAACAGATCAAGGAACAAGCTTGTGATTCTAACATTGTATGTAGATGACATTCTTATAGCTGGAAATGATAAGGAATTTATAATCGAGATAAAGTCATGGTTGTCACCTCAATTTGAGATGAAAGATATAGGTGAAGCTGCATATATTCTTGGAGTTAAGATTTCAAGAGATCGTCTAAAGAAACTAATGTATCTCTCACAAGAGAATTACATTAGAAAAGTTCTTGAACAATTCAATATGCAAAACAGTAGCCCAGTTGAAACTCCTATCAGTAAAGGCCATACCTTGGGAAGTTAAATGTGTCCCAAGATTCCTAAAGAGACACAAAGAATGAGCCGAGTTCCTCATAGGAGGGCAGTAAGAAGTCTAATGTGTGCTATGATATGCACTAGACCTGATATCTGTCAAGCAGTTGGCTTGATAAGTAGATATCAAACCGACCCAGGTTTAGCACATTGGCAAGCAGTAAAGAGGGTCATGAGATATCTGAAGGGAACTACTAATTATGCCCTTTGTTATCAAGGCGACAAGGATCTGCAATTAGTTGGATACAGTGATGCTCACCATGGAGGAGATCTAGATAAGAGGAAGTCTACCTAAGGATATATTTTCTTACTCAGTGATGGCGCTATATCATGGGTTAGTAAGAAACAATTATGTGTATCACTATCTACGATGGAAGCCGAATACGTGGCTCTCACATCAACAGCACAAGAAGTTGTTTGGTTGAAAAATTTCTTGGAACACTTCTTGGATATCCCTGAAAATACTGAACCAGTATTAGTCTACTGTGACAGTGAGGCTACATTATCCTCCACCAAGGACCCTAAGTTTCATTATAAAACCAAACATATAGATATCAAGTATAACTATGCGAGAGACATGGTTAGACGCAAGGTAGTGAATGTGAAGTATGTGTCTACAAAAGATATGTTAGCAAATCCATTGACCAAGCTATTGTCTAGAGATGTATTTGTAAGGCACACTAGGTCTCAAGTCTTGCGTAGACTTTGATATTCTTCATTTTGTTATTTATATTTTCTATGTTCACAAAACTAATGTTCTTTGATTATCGATAAAGTTGATTTACATACATACATATTTTTATTGTTGAATGTTATGTGCATTCTTTATTTTTTTATAAGTATGTCGGGTAGACAAGAGGTTGGCCTTCTCACTAGGGCTGTGCATAATTTGGTAAATACCGAATTACCGTACCGAAACTGAAAATTTTGGTATTTGGTATACGGTATTTTGGTAATTGGTATGGTATTTGGTTTAAGTTTTCTAAAATATTGGTATTAGGTATGGTATTTTGTATTTTAAAATAAAATACCGAAATACCCATACCGTACCGAAATGTATATTATATTACACAAAACACAGTTATAACATAAATATAAAAAATCTAAGATTTTACTTTACTTTATTCTCTAAGTTCATCAATTAACTCTAAACAAATAATAGGACATATCTAATGATCAAATATTCTTTTTTGTACAATTTTCTCTATTGGGGTCGATATTTGCTAGTTTTGGACAAAATTTTTGTCAACAAACATTTTCAGTTTTGTATTTTTGAGTACTTTAGTTAAGAATATTAGAGTCTATGGCTCTATGCACTAATTAGTATTCAAACCGAATAAATCGAAGTTACCAAACCGAAAAAACCGAAATCGAAAGGAGAAAAACCGAACTATACCATATTTAATTGGGTACGGTAATGGTATAAGATTTTAAGAAACCGAATACCGAAAATACTGAACCGAAATGTCTAAATATCGTACCGTACCGACCGACGGACACCCCTACTTCTCACACAGGCAACCACCTCCTTATCTTAGTGATGTGAGAAGATGAGACATGATTTAAGCAAAATTATCATAAGGAAAATTCGAGAGCTATTCACTTAAAATCAGAATGTCACTTAAACAATGACATAAGGTCATAAGGGTGAAAAACGTTCAACTAGACTACTTTGTGAGCGAGATGTGAGTTAAATATGATTTTGTAGATCAAGGAACTCAAATTCACATACTTATGGTTTCTAAATATCATTTGTACAACATTCTTAATGAGATAAAGACATACGCTCATTGAGAAAAAGGAAAAAATGTTGTAGCACTTGTTTCATACCATGTGTGATAATATCGACCAATTGGGTTAACATAAGTCCATTCTCAACTTATTGTTATGTGAGACCCAGAGCTTTTATGATGGCTCAAGATTTTATACCCTTAGAGACTCTAATTAGATACTTGAGACTTAGTGTGATGTTAGCTATCTTAGTGTGTTTCCAAAAGACCATATACACAGGTTCGGTCAAGCGTAGCATATCTAGAAAAGATGTCATACTAATGTTAAGGGGATCGTGAAAAAAGGAAGATCATTGATGGAATCTCATTTATTTGTGTTCACCGGTGCACCAATTATAACTTATGAGTTATGATTATGAATACAAGAAATAATGATATATGAGATTTTGAGATTATATCAAATGTGATTCATATGATCTAGGATACTGCATACTTTATGATCTACTTGCAGGTTCGCACTCGACGAGAGGCTATATACTCTTAACAGATGTATAACACTTAGCTCTCACAGTATGCCGGTCGCACGGTCTACTTCCCTTATGAATGATTAAGGAGATGAGTTGAGAATATGTTTCTTAGACTAAATGAGCACTCCCATTATGTGTGAGTGAGAGATATATGAAATAGAGTCCACCCATAAGGGGTGCCCTTAGGGTCCACTAGGGTAAAACACAGTAATTTTAGTAATTACTGTAACCCTAGTATTCCCTATATAAGTACACTTACTGTGTACAATAAAGAAATAATCTCTGAGAATTATTCTACGCTCTTCTCTCTCAATTTCAAATAAGGGTTTAGACTGTGGATAGGCGGTTACTCTAACGTACCGTGGCAACCACCGTCGACTAGTAATTCCAGCCGCAGCTCGTTCGTTACTTACGTTTCCGCTACGCGAATAAGTAAGTTCTCGTTTTACAATTTATGCGCTAAATTAATGTGTTTAGTTTACCGTGTTTTCCTCCACTTTAGTAGATCAGACACAGTAGAGTAATATACTGACTTGCACTAAAAAATCATGCAGCAATACTATATTTTTTATGGCCTTGAAAAATATATTTTATTAGCTCAAATACCTAACATGAATTTCGTCGTATTCCTATAGAAACTCAAACCAAAAAATATGATAAACAAAAAAGACTCCATATTGTTAAGATTATGATGAAATTAATTGGATGAGTAATATTTAAACCCAACTAAAATTTTGGTTGCTACTTAGTGTATCGAATGTTATGTGCATGTCATGATCCAAATCTCATCACGAAGGTTGTAATGATACCTAGTTTTTAAAACTAGGTAAGTCGATCACTTCACACCATTAAACAATAAAAATATGATAGAATAAAACGGAGTTAACATAAATATGAAAATAAAGGTGATACAAGCCGACAAGGAGATAATCATAACATATCTCCAGAACTAGGTAGTACAAATATCACGAGCTCTAACTGAATACACGAGAACAACTCAAAATGCTGTACTGTTTGAAAATAAATTGCAAAGCTGACGCAATGGTGGAAAACAATCAAAGCAAACTTTGCTAAAGCACAGATGTTCATGAAGAAGCATACGCCTGATATGATGATGAAGAAGAGACTGAATCTGACGAGGAGTAATTTAAACTTGGTTGTGATTGTTTGTTAGACATGTGACGCTTAGACTTGTGAAGTTTAGACTTGATTTGAATGATTTTGAGTTTTTTTAGACTTGATTTGGATGAGTTTGAATATTTAGATCGTTTAATACTTTAATTATTCAAATTCTATGAGGCTTTAATTTGTTAGAATTGTGCTTTTTTTTCTTTATTTATTTAACATGTGGTGTAGCTACTAGCTTATCAGATTTCTGCCAAAAAAGTTATCAATATTAAGACTATGGTAGTCAAAAAATAATCAAAAATGTACTATCTTTTCTTCTGAAATGCTAATTTCCGATTACTGCAGTCAATGCATATTTTCATAAAATTGATAATTACAAACCATTATCATCGAAAATTTAATAAATAAATATTTTTTATATAAATCTTCTAACTACTATAGTCGAAAATATATTAAGTAATTATTTAATTATTAAAATATTCCAATTACAGCGGTCAACACGCGCGCGCACATATATATATATATTCGACTATAGTAATAAAAAAATATGATCATTTTCAGGTCGTTTGACAATGTAAATTCTTTTACCAGTACTATCGCTGGAAAACTTTCGACTATAGTAGTCAAAAACTGTTTTCCGATGTTCATAATTCCGAATACTCGTTTCAGTTAGAAAGTCATCGAAAAATCCCAATCTCTGAAAGTTTTTTCGGCGATTTGGTCGTAAAATATAGAAAGAATTACAAGAAAATACACATGACTTCATACCATAATAAAAAGTGGCCCATATTTTTTAAGTTTACCCGCTATAGCCCAGTTTGTATAGAATTTGAAGGAAAGATTTCAATCACTAACCTAGTTCTCTTTTTCCCTACACGCCCAAAATGCTCTCTCTCCCGGTGCCTCTTCATTCTCTACAGGCCATCATCTTCTATCCTCCATATTTTTTTGATCTATCTCCCATATTCATCTTCTATCTTCTATAATTTTAAATCTATCTTTCATCCTATCTTTTCTCTTCTCTGATTTCCAGATCTAATTTTCCTTAATTTTTTTTAATTCTCTCAAACTTTCCTAATGCAAAAAGATGAAAGTCTAGA